ACTATGGCTTATTTCTGTTATGCGTCCCGCATGAAGCTCTAACGACTCAATTTATTAAATGCGGGATCAAAGGATAGCGTGCTGGTATTGCGGGCGTTATATCTGCGTACATACATTTGTATATATGACTGCTTTGTCCAACAACGGTTGGCAATTTTGTCGTGCCGACAAAAATGGGAACGAGCCCATATAGAATCGTAAACTTGTAAAATTATATTGTAAAAAATTCTGTATAAAAGTATGTATGAATAATAGTAAGTCAGGAAAATCATTTAATTATTTATTCATACTTTTGATATAAAATATTATAATTATTTTATCTCCCTCTTTTAAATTAACTTTGCTTTATTAAACGTGACATGAAAATTATTTTATTCCAATTTTCTGTTTCCATCAAATGTTCGAACGGAGAAAATTACTTTCTGCCGTAGGTGCTTATAAATTATTAGTTAACGATGCATTATTGAAAATATTATTAGGAAACCATCAATTTAGATTTAATTTCATTACATAATTACATTATATCATGGTATATATTACAGATTTCATTTATATTTATTTTTTTCTTTATCACGATTTTAAAACTATAGTATAAACTAGTATATCTACAAATATTAATAAAAATTTCCAGTGCAGTTATTTAGAAAAAATCAATGAAATATAACTTCTTGCACGTGGCATTCGTGATGGCTGAATTTTTTATCGATTATTCGTTAAATCTCTGTTATTGGTTTGGAGTTCTGTGAAGCGTGCAAGTCTTTTGTTGAACTGAAAACAAAAAATTTGAACCGAGAACAGTTGGTGCACTATACTGACATCGATATTCGACAAGAAAGTTTGTAGCAAAAATCATAATGGATTATATAATTGGATCTTAATTACACAACAACAAGAGTGACCATTTAATTTATAATTGATTTATATCGACTGCATTAAATAACCGTATATTTTATCGACAGTTTACTTAACTTCTATAATTTATAATAGCGCTATAACGTTCGTTTGTTCGTTTTATTAATTAATAAATAATTACTTTTTTTATGAATTTATAATTCTGATTACTGATCTGTATACATTTTTCACAAAAACGCATAATAATTTTCTCATGTCTTCTTTATAACAATGTTTTATCTTACATAATACTTATGAAAAATTATTTACGGCGTTCTATAATTGATTTTATTATTTATTATTTTATTTAATTAATTGTAAAGTTAAACTACAAGTAATACAAAAGTTATTTCAAAAAATATTTATATAAAATAGTAAGTTAATTATTATCGACTACGAATATCGGTTTATCTTTTCGAATATATTAATTACATTATCTCTCTTCTCTAAAAAAAACACGATAATACAGCTAACGAATAATTTTTACTAAATTTATTTTTCCAATTAATAACATGGCCAGAATTTATCATTTATAATTATTATATTAATTATTTTGGATTAATTACTTAAACAAAACTTTTAATTAAAAATTTTATATAAATACGAGCACTTTATAGCATCAATAAATTTTACACATGCAATGGCATTGAAAACTAAAACTTTAACAATTTCATATATAAAACATTTAATTATAAGACCAATTTTTCGTGATAAAAAATTTGTGTTTTTCTTCCCGTTTAGCTATAAAATATTATGTGTATTATTAAAAATTTACGAGGCAATCCGTTCTTTGTCGCCCGGAAGCTAAAACGAAAACGCCGCAGTCTTCTGGGAAGATCATCGAGCGCCGTTATCGCTGTGAAATAACGCGAATATAGCCATGAGCACTCAGATCTTGACGAGCGTCGAAACTCGAAACAACGCGCTTGTTCGGGTTAAGTATGTACACCATGCATACGTGACGTCCAACGACGACGACGACGACGACGACGACGACGACGACGACAAAGGGTACGCGCAATTTTATAAAGCGTCGCGAGTGCTTTTCGTGAAAAAATCGGTGGAACCGGTTACACCCGCTCACCTCACGCTCTCGCGCACACGCGTACACAGCCTACTTTACTGTTTACGCGAGAACACGCGCAGGTGCGTATGTACGTTACGCGCGCACCTTCCGTTGCTCCACCCGATAACGAACAACGGATCTTTGATCTAGCCAAGTATCTGAAACTACTCGAAGGAAACGTATTTCAGATGCTATCTACTATTCGTATCAGATTCCAGACCAGAATCCTGTTTACAACCTTGTAATTTTGATATTACGCGCACGCATTTTAGTTTACATTTTACATTCATTTCTGATTATATTTCATGTTTTACGTGTGTGTGAGACATATAAAATGATAATTAAAGTTTTATCTGAAATTTTGATATAAATTGTAAATTGTCCAAAGGATTTTAAGCTATCGACGTCTTAAAGAACAGATTTTAATTGACAATTTTAATATCTTTTGTTTGAAATGCGGAGAAGATGGTTTTAGAAATAAGTTTACTTTCCTAAATATTTAATAAGTATTACCAAATATATAATAATATAAATAATCGTTTAGTAATAATTGCTAAATATTTAGAAAATTTAGAATATTTAGAAAATAATAAATTTATTTTAGTTTATGTTAATCGACATTTGATTGGAACTATTAATTTCATTTGTTCAATATTTAATAGCTATTACTAGACTATTTTTTAGTGTGATACGTAAACAGCTTTTTTGCGGAATCTACGTCAGACATACTAAATCAATAGAGAATGTTATGAAAGTTAAATTTATCGGCTTTCCAAGGCAAGTTTATGTGCATGATAATTAATTTGGATCAAAAATCATTTCGTTATTCGTTTCGTCCGATTTATGTCCATTCCTATCAATATATAGTTTAATTTTAATCTCGGTTTAACACACTCTATCTTTTTTTTTTAAATAAAGATGAAGAATATGTTAAACCGAGATTGAAATTAATTTACGTTGGTAAAAGCAGGCATCGAGAGTTGTGATTGTAATTGTAAAAATAGACACCAATCAGAGTCGAATTCGAATATTTGATCGTGATTGCTCAATTCTTACGACTACCACTTACAATTACACTCACGCAATTGTAGAATAGGCTTAAAGTATAAAGGGTCCTCTACATAGAAGTCGTATGATCGTGGAGTTTTAAGTCGTAGGAAATCAACCAATCACAATCGAATATAAGAAGAATACTCGATTAGAATTGATTAGTTTCCTACGACTTACCTAACCTTTAAGAGAATCGACCATTCAGAGTTCTTTATTTCATGGAAAGAAAAGAAATGAAGAATCATTCTCATCTTTGATTGGTTCATTTTCTCATTAAGCAAGATTCTGTGCTCTTGTTCTTTATGACCACAGCACACAAAAAAGCTTAAACAGTAGATCTTAGAGCCATAATGTAAGTAGTATAGCAAATGGTTCTTTACATTATTATCTTACTGCTTAATTGTACTTTTCTATATGCCATGGTTTTAAGAACGGGAGCACAGTCTTGCATAATGAGAAAATGAACCAATCAAAGATGACAATCATCCTTCATTTCTTTTCTTTCCATGAAACAAAGAACTCTGAATGGTCGATTTTCTTATACTTTAAGAATTCTATTCTACAACTGCGTGAGCGTAATTGTAAGTGGTTGTAGTCGTAAGATTTAACCAATCATAGTCAAATATGAGGAAAATATTCGATTATGATTGGTTAATTGTTACAACTACAACCACCTACAACTACGCTTGCGACTGTATGGAATGGGCTTAAGGCCCATTCTACAATAGCGTAAGCACAATTGTAAGTAGTTGTAAGATTTAATCAATCATAATCAAAAATATGAAGAAAATATTCGATTATTATTGGTTAATTGTTACAACTACAACCACTTACAACTACGCTTACACAATGGTAGAATGGGCTTAATGCATAATACAAAAGTGTGTGCTCCGGCGCAAGTTGCGGGGGCCGGGGGCGCCAGCTCGCACGCTACGAGCGTGAGGGCGACGAGCAACGGTGCGGAGGTGG